TTAATATTTTTTACGATCACCTGTGTTATCAAGTATTGTATGTTATTTTGTATTAAAAATTAAATTGTATATTATGTTGCAAAAATTATTATCTAGTGTTTTTTTATTTCATCTTTATTATTCTATTTGTTTTGCCTTCCCATCGCATGCTATTTCAAACAAAATGATGTCTGCCAACCTTACTTTAATCAACTAAAAAATAGGTCACTGGAACTGCAGAAGTCTTAAACTTCCTTAAAAAATATGAGCTTAAATCTATTTTGAAGGATTAGGTTTTGGATGTATTAGCCATTTTAGAGCATACTTGTCACTAGATATATTGGATATATCTGTAGCTATTCCAGGATATAGGTTAATACCTAACAGGGGTGGATGTTTCGTGATCTATATATCGAATGGGCTTCACGTTAAAACCGTATTTTCTGTTGTGAAAGTCAATGGTCTAAGAATTTTATTTGGTGTAGTATATTTGCTTCTTTTTGTTTTTGTTCGTGTGCCATTTGGAGTAGAACTTTCGGTATTGGGAAGTATTTTGGAAACAATATACATGTGTTGAAAGGTAATAAAGCGTTCAATCATATTTAAAAAAATGGATCGGTGCAAACCTTTTTGAGTACTTTTGAGAAAAAAATTATATTATTGCAAATCTGTTTATGACCCTGTTAACAACTGTGCATAATGTGTGATTTGTGCCTTCGCTAATTTAATTCAAATTATCTAAATGGAACAAAGATTTTTTTTTAATTTATTGAATCTTTCATATATTTAATGAAAATAACAATAAGGTTTCATATCTTATATACTAATATTTTTATAGGGAGGTTGTCAATACAATCACCCCATATTTTTTCATGCTTTAATTATTAATTATTGTTTTTTTTATGATATAGATGTGTGTTATTTTGTGGGCTTGTGGATACAGTTATATCCGTGAATTGATTGAGTAGGTAGTTAAGATTAGGTTAGATACAGATATATCTAAGTGAATCGCGGACTACAGAAATAGTCTTACGGATATAATGTTGCTTTGTTTAGATACAGTTATATCTAATCATCCCGCGGACTACAGTAATAGTCTTAGCGATTTCTTCACTAATCTTCCCGCTGACTACAGTAATAGTCTTTTCGATTTCTTCACAGAAGCAGCTTCTAATTTAGCATACTACTACCTGTAGAAGTATAACAGTGGGCGACGTTCAATTGGCCAGACAAGAGCTAAAAATAATGAGAGCGTAAGACAAAAAAATAAACTATATGATAGAAAGAGTGTCACGTCTGCGCAGTCTATCGTGTCCTCCGAATAGTAGGAGTTGGCGGGCCAAGTTATTTGGGTGCTCGGATAGTTGGTTTAAGTACTTGCGGCAAAGCTTCTTTATTTCTTCTTCAACAGTAAGTATATTTAGGTCCTTGTGGATGTTTGCGTTCCTTATGTACCATCGTGCACCTGTAATAGATCGAAGAATATTCGACTGTCTTCTTTGTAGTTTACCTACGTTGGAGGCACTAGCTGTGCCCAGAGCTGTATGCCATACGTCCAAATTGGCTTTATTATAGTCTTATATAATAGGACTTTATATTCTAATTTAATAGAAGAACGTATACCAATTAACCATTCAAGATTGGTCTTTTTTAGTTTAATTTGTGTGATTTTTGCATCGATGTGTTGCTTCCATGTAAGTCTTCGGTCCAGGTGCATTCCGAGATATTATACGGTATCTTTCTGTGGAACTTGAGTATTAAAGATTTTTATCGTGGGGCAAAGTTCACGTTTTAGAGCAAAAGTAACATGTATGCACTTGCTTGCATTTACCGATATTCTCCATTTTGTCAGCCAATTTTCGAGAAGATATACATGGTATTGTAGTTTTTTTCGACGCAATCAGAGGATCCTTGTGTATGCTAATGAAGGCAGTATCATCAGCAAACGTTGAGGTTAGAGTTTCATTGATTGTGGGCATATCGGCAGTAAATAACACGTACAGAATTGGTCCTAAGATACTACCCTGTGGGACGCCAGCCAATATTATTCTCGAATTTGAAAGAATGTCCTTCGATTTAACAACAAACGTACGATTTGACAAATAACTACAAAAAAGTTTATGAGTGTTTTTAGGTAGAGTTTCACAAATTTTGTATAGAATTCCAAGATCCCAGACTCTGTCAAACGCTTGGGAAATGTCTATAAATAGCGCCAAGCAGTATTCCTTCCTTTCAAATGTCATTCTAATGTTTGTGACTATGCGGTGCACTTGCTCAATAGTACTGTGGTTCTTACGGAAGCCGAATTGGTGGTCGGGGATAATATTGCTATTTGTAATATGAAGAGTTAACTTCCTTAGTAATGTTGTTTCGAACAGCTTTGAGAGTATAGATAGAAGACTGATGGGTCTATACGATTTTACCTGCGTTGGATCTTTTCCAGGTTTCGGAATCATTACTATTTCAGATGCTTTCCATACAGACGGAAAGTACCCTACTCGAAGAATGCTGTTAAATATAAATAACAATAGTTTAACGGCCGGTGTTGGTAATTTCTTGAGCATGCTTGGAGTAATTCTATCTTTACCCGGGATTTTTTTAGTTTTATCGAGGCTTTAGAACTCTCGATTTCTTTTAGAGAAAATCGTATTGGATTCGGAACAATGTCGTCAATTAAAGGTTGAACAACTGTCGATGGTCCGGGATTTGGGGTAAATACAGATTCAAGATGTTCGGCAAATGCGTTTACTTTTTCTTCTGTAGATCTTGCCCAAGTCCCATTTTCTAGGCGAATTGGAGATTCGTGGGCAATAGGTCTTTTCAAGTTTTTTGTGGCTTTCCATAAGCTGTAGTCGGTTCTCTCTGTGGGATCCAGGTTATTTAGGAATATTTTTAGGTTTCGTTCTTCATTTAATCTGAGTGCTTGTTGTAAGAGTTTTTCACATTCTTTTAGTTTTTCCCGAAACCTAGGTGATCGGTACTTCTGCCATTCTCTTCTGGCCTTCCTTTTATCAGACACGAGTTTTCGAATGGTCGATGGATTATAGGAATTATTTTCTAGTTTTGAAAATTTAGTGGGAGTGGCAACATTGACAGTGGTGTTGACTATCGAAGTAAATATTTTAACTGCATTGTCAATTTCTTCTGCGGACTTTAGAGGAGTGTTAGAATTCACATGTGTACTGACATATTTTTTGTACTTCATCCAGTTTGTATATTTATTTGGTAGATAATCCGGGGAAGTTGCGAGTTGAACATCATTTAATGTTATTATAGTTGGGGAATGGTCTGACGACAAGTCAAACGAGGGTACCACGGACATTTGTTCCCTCTTAATATTCTTTGTTACCGCAAAGTCAATTAAGTCAGGACGTTTTTGCAGGTCTGAAGGCCAGTAAGTAGGCTGGCCAGTAGATAACACGTCCAGTTTAGCGGACGAAATGGAGTTTAAAAGCTGTCTACCTCTGGGTGTAATAAGTCTAGATCCCCAGAAGGTGTGTTTGGCATTATAATCTCCAACTGCAATGAATCTACTACCAAGAGATGAGAAAAAGTGTGCGAATTCATCTTTTCTTATACTATGTCTCGGAGGACAATATATAGCAGATATAGCTGTATTCGTTGAAGTTAGTGAAACTGTTGTAGCTTGTAGGTGGTCAAACTTATATTCTGGCATGGGGTAGAGCTGAATTTTATTAGAAATTATCACCGCGGTGCCACCGCAAGCTCTCCCACTAGGGTGTTTAGTGTCGTATGTACTGTAACCGTTTATTCTAAAACAGTTTCTAGAAGTGAAATGAGTTTCAGATACCAGTAAAATGTGTATGTTGAGTGAGTGAATAAAGTTTTCGACCTCGTGTTTATGTTGGCTTAAGCCGTTTGCGTTCCAAAAATATATTCGAATTTTATCTATTTCTGTTTTAAAACTATTTGCATAATCATAGATTGATTTCTCACAATATCTTGCATCATGCTTTGCATACTTGTCATAAAAGAATTCATGGTGACGATTAGTTTTTCGAGATGATTCTATATTTGAATTTTTATAGTTGGGTGAGTCATTTCTCAAAGTATCAGAATATAAGTATTGCATATTCTGTGAGGGGAGATTGTAATTTTCAAATATAGCTAAGTTGGAGACTGACCGGAGACTGGATTTTCGTTCTACGAAAATATAAAAATAAAAATATGTTCTTTATAAAAATTTCCAAATGATATTTGTCGCCTTTATTCTCAAATCAGATTTTCATAGGACAAAAAATGAGCCTCGGTGTTTTTTGTTGTAAAATATTTAAGCTTTCTAGAGAATAACTGCATTATTTTGCTTGTCGTTCTCTGCAACCAAACTAATTTTTTTAAATCAGATGACAGGCATACGGCCATTAAAGATTAAAATTTGACAGACCATATATGAAATGGAGTGGTCCGGTATAAGGTATAAAGTTGGTGGAAATATTGGTATATGCGAAATTTGAAGGTGGTCTGACATTTCATATTTTACGAGAATTATTAGATTTTATAAGAATTATGATTATTCAAAACTTTGACACTGTGTGAGGGATTAACCAGAAGTAATGGTACGATTTATACCATCTTCACACCAGGTCTTGTGTTGGTAGAAATATTATGATGTACCAAGTTTGAAAACAGTCGGATGCTCTTTTTGCATTTTATGAGGGTTATTAGAATTTAACATTTTAACCCGTTGTGTAGAAGGTACAAGGAGTAGTCCGATCTACCACGTCTCCATAAAATATATAGAGTTGGTAGAATTTTTGGAATATGCGAAATATGAAATTTGATAAACGGAGTCTTCTTTCATCTTCTTTCATATTATTATATTTTAATATCAATGTGCGCACCAGCATTTTTTTACATTTTTGCTGTATCCAATTATATACACCCTCTGTGGCCATATGGCTGATATCATGAACCTATGGAGAACAAACATTTGATATATACATCGAACGACTTCTTTTTGAAAAAATGAAGTGAAATGAAAGTATACAAATAATACCAAATTTTTACACATAATAATCTCATGTACTTTATTTATTCACAATTAACTTATCACAATTATTATTTAATACGAATGTGTACCAAGACATACGATAGAACACAATGTTTAGAGTAGAGATTCTTTCACACTTAAATATATTTATTTTGGAAACATATCATAAGTGCACCAAGCGCAGTTATCACAATGACAGTTTTTACATTAAAAATTTTATTTGATTTATTGCACAAATCTCCTCGGCAGTAGCAATGTGTTTTTAATGAGGCCGCCATGGTGTTTTCAGTTACTTCCTTACAACCTTCTTCATAGACTTCTTGTACTGAATACTCCTGGTTCCATCTACCATTATTAAATACCTAAAAAGAAACAACCGATTATCTATTTGGTAAAATCAATCGACTACTACTGATATAAATAAAAATATGTTTAAGATATGTATGTAAACAGATCTTCTTTTGATGTTGTTTTACCTCAAAATCTTTTCGATAAAGTAATTACGAATGAATTTTGGCCTGCTAGAGCTTTTGTAATAGAATTTGTAGAAAAAAAAAAACAGAAAATTTAGCTCATATACCTCACTTACTAAAAAAAAAAAACTAAATAATGATTTATCAATTTGCTATCAGAATTTAAGGGGGATAAAATTTCAATTATATCGCTTATACGCTGATAGTTTTGCCTTTGATTACAACAGTTTATCATTTTCCGAAACTTGGTTAAAGCCATTTATTTGATACCCGAAATTGTATGTCCAAAATGTCAGTTATATCGCAAAGATCGTATAAATATACAAGGTGGGGTGTTATTATTGTTGTAGATGCAACATATCCCTCCAATATATTTGAAATAAAAGATTTTAATGATATTGAATTTATCAGCACAATTGTCGATTTGGACAAACGTAATTTTTTTCTCACATGCTCTCATATACCTCCATCGTCAGACGCTGTCTTATATTATCGCCATATTTCAGCAATATCACCAATAGTTTAGAAAGTGGATGTTATTGATTATATTTTGGCCCTTGGAGATTTTAACATGCCATCCATTAAGTTGATCTCATTGCCAGATTCAGAATCAATGATTCCTTTAACCCCATCTGGGAAATGTAACCATTTTTTGCGATTTAGACCTTCATCAAACAAATAGTATAGAAAAAACTTTTGAAAAAATCTTGATTTAGCATTTGTTAATATCACCCGAAGATAATTATCATCTAACAGTGTGTATATTAATGTCACTGAGTAGTATAATTATAGTATCAGTAAGACCGTTTGGATAATGTTGGAAAACTTTTTAAAATACCATGAAGTGAGTGAGGCCGTTGTATCGGGGCCATACCAAAACGGGAACCTCCATAGACAATTTTATACTTCAAGGATTGTCATCTACCAAATCTTCTTAAATACAAAATTTGGAACAATTTTGGGGGTAAATGTGACTAGGATTATTAAAATACCGAGTATCTGTGAGTATAATTATATGTGCGCTATAGGAAAACGTGGACATAAATTTTCAATGTTTCGCCACAGGAGCCAGAACCTATTACGTACTACAAATACCAACTTTGGGACAAATCCATGGAATAATGTGTCAAAAATTATCAAAACACCGAAAATCGGAAATTATGGGGACAATACAAAAAATGGACCTTAATCCATTATGAACTACAAATACCAATTTTTAGACATATCTTTGGAATGTGGCAAACATCATAAAAATACCGAATATAGGGAGGTACAATTATAATATAATATATACGGCTATACAAAAAAGAGGTGCCATGCATACAATGTTTCACCGCCGGAGCTAGAATCCATTATGAACTACAAATACCAATTTTTAGACAAATTTGTGGAATTGGCAAAAATCATCAAAATACCGAATTTCGGGATGTGTGTTATATGGCGGCTATTCCAAAATCTCATTTAAACACAATACAAATTGTTCTGCCAAATTTTGAAGCTCTGCGTCAATAATGTGGGCGGTATCGTGATTTCAACAGACAAACGGACATCGTAAATGGCCAGCGCACCACTTCATCGTTAAATCGACTTAGAACTTTATGGGGTCTACAACGAACATTTAGGGATGTTACAAACGGGATGACAAAGTTAATATTCCCCCCTTTTCAATGTGGAGGGTAAACAAATTTAAATGTAATCCAAAGTCCATTTGTAAATTTAGAAAGAAACATATTCTAAATCTTGTTTATTAAAAGTCGATAATTATGAACATATTCCGATACTGAAATCGCTGAATATTTTGCTAAGTGTTTCGCGTCTGCCTATTATGACAACTTTCCGCAAAATTTTTTCTATCCATATAAATTACCAGGATTTCCTGAAGTAACTATACTTTATTGTCAATTTCAACAGGTCCACGTAATTTAAAGCAATACATTCTGGGTCCGGAAGATGTTTCCAGTATAATATTACAATTCTGTTAAAATACCTTGTAGGTCCCTTTAACATTGCAGTACCATTATTCACTTGAATTTGGTCATTTCCCTTGTGATTGGAAACAATTGTATTTGCTTCATCTACATTAATCCGGCAGCTTAGTAGATGTTTCCAATTATAGAGGAATTGCAAAATTGACAGCCATTCCATTTGAAAAATTAATTACTGACGTCATTTCCCATAAAATCATATCTTTCTAAGTCCATTTCAACATGGTTTCCGCAGTAGACTCTCAACCATTACTAATCTTATCCAATTTTTATGAGAGCTAATTATAGGGTTTGTTCACAACAAATAAACTGATATAAATTATACCGATTTCAGCAAAGCCTTTGATGAAGTCAATCATAGGTTATTTTTATTCAAACGTAAATTATTTAATAGTTACTTGGTTTTATGGATTTCATCCTATTTGTGCGATAGTTCACAGATAGTTTTGTTTGAAATTGCCATTCTAAATCTCTTGATGTTCCATCTGGTGTTCCACAAGGAAGTCATCCTGGGGCCAGCTCTATTTCTATGGTTTGCTAATGATCTACCAAATTCAATTGAGTATTCTAAAATTATTAAAGTACGCTGAAGATTTAAAATTATTCTTGACTCATAAATCTTCTTGACTCATTTTGACTTACTGTAAAGAGATTTAAATAGGCTTTTTAATTGGCGTCAACTCAATGGCATGGAGTTGAATTTAAAAAAGTGTAAGCATATGTGTTTTTTTTAAATCTAACCCTAAATTAAAATTAAATTATAGTATAAATGGGTATGTGTTATCAACAGTTGTTGTTGTAGCAGTGTTAACATGCTCCATTGTTTATATTCTGATTAATCCGGTTCTTCCTCAATGTCCAGGTTTAGGAATTCTGCTACCTTTATGGGCTGTAGCCAGATATCCTCTGGACCGAGTTGGACAATTAACCCTTTCAGTGTTTTTGTCAAATATATTTGACATTTAAAAGTACTCTCTTTCTTTGCCATTTCTTGTTTTTCTTACGAACCGTTATTTTTGATATTTTTTAATAACAGACACGTACGCTATTTAAAAATATTGCAGTTCTATTCTATTAGTTTCGTTTTCGAATTTCTGAGCACATTTTAGTAAATTAGTACGGAATTTCAGATTTTTATCTCGACAAAAATTTTCATTGACACTGAAAGGGTTAAACAGATGCGGCGTATTGTGCGGGCCAGTATCGCATGCTGGGCAGGCGTTCCGCACATCTTCGTCAATTCGTGTCCAACACGAATTGAGACGGCTGCACAATCTTGAAGGTAGTTGGGTCAAAACTACCCTGGTCTGCCTAGGCAGCCGACGTTTTTGACAAGTTAAGGACTTTGGTTAGATACTCAACTCCCGGTGTGAAGTTGCTTCAACATTGATATTCCGTCCGGGCCCAACGCGACTTAGCGTTTCGTATGACATTCGCAACATTACCCATCGTAAACTGTGGAGGTACATCCTCGGAGGGAAGAGCTCTTATACGACGTAGTACTCTTCGTCTCGCCCTGTCACTCTCAGGGTGCTCGACGAATTGGCGGTTAAAATGACCAGCGCACCTCTTCGGATCAGTCACCGTTACGTCGTTATGTGTAACTGCAGTCCTATCATCCTTTTTCCCAGGGTTCAAGAGTGACTTTACGTTACCCACAGTTTACTTAAATCGGTTTCAATGTTGCAAAACATCAAAACTGTGACACTCTCTTCTTATGCGGGTGGGGGCATCCTCGTTTACCGTGCAAAATGTGGAGCAGTCAATCTGCTCTGCCAACGCTGATCCCCTCTGGTCATTACCTAGGACGGAATGCCACAACTCATGGTGGGCATTGAAATCCCCTAGTACCAGGTGGTTATTGCCTTCCAAAAGTGGACTTATATTAGGCAAGAAACGCGGTTCACAGTTATTAACTGGCGGGATATACACATTAAACACCTCTACCTCCACACTTGACTGCTACCCCACCCACATTCCATGTATGGGCCACTAAGGACTAGCTCAGGCGAGATAGGTCTGTATTGAATAGAATGGTGTAACAGGAACGCTAATCCCCCACCTTATAAAATGTGAAATAAGAAATAATAGAATTATTGTCTTCAAATACCGTACATCATAATATGTCTACCAACACAAGATCTGATATGAAGAACGGATAGAAGGACCACTCTTTCAACATCAACACAAAATTTGATATAGGGGTCTACTCATTTTTGTACCTACCCCACAACGGATCAAAATTTTGAATAACCATGACACTCATAAAACACAGAATGAGCATCACTTTCTTTTCAAACATAGCATATCCTAAATATTCTACCAACACAAGGTCTAGTGTGGAGATGTGGCCCCATCTCCTGGTACCTTTCCCACAATGAATCAACAGGTGGAACAATTATAAACTTTGTATATTACAACATTTTTATCAACCAGAGATCTGATGTGAATATGGAAGTTATCGGCCCGCTCCTTTTACCACCTTCTCCACAAGGCTCAAAATTTTGAACAATCATAAATCTTATACATGAAAAGGAAGGCAGGGATTATCTTCAAACATCGTGTATTTCAACATTTCTTCATTTTTGTTAACAACTATTTGAATACATTTGGAAAAATATTTTGTTTTTTTTTTTTTATTTAAACTTTGTACATTCCAATAATTTCATCAGCATTATATGAAGTTTGAAAATGGAATAGGTTAAAGTGCGCCTAAGTTCGGCATGTCCCAGTAGTAGGCATTTTTCAAATTTTTATTCAAATAAATAAAAAAATGTATAAAAACTTCCAATATAATGCCAATATTTGTAAAATTTCTTGAAGAAAAGATGATTTATTCCCTTAAAATTGACATTTTCGTCTGTGAAGGTCCTTCAGCATAAACGAGACAATGCATATTCTTTA